ATATGAACAATCAGTTCACTTAAAATTAAAATACATTACGGCTCAACAGTTAGGGAACAAGATTACAATTTTAAAAGATTAGTAATTTGTATGCAAGAAAATATTTTTAATGTAAGAATAATTTTTAAACAATTTATTGAGAAAGTTTTGCATTTATTATCAGAGATTGCCAAATGCATGGCTTAAAGAAGCCCAAGGCACCATAAACAAAGACGATTGACAAAATGTGCTTATCTACTACATAAAAAATTACATGTACATAAAAAATCTAAATGGATATTTTTCATATACTTTTAGATAGGATTTTTGGATTTCTTTTTATAAATAAAACTTCTTTCATAACTATACTTTCTTTACTTGTGGTTAATATAGAGGGAGATTCAAGGTAGTTGCAGCTGTTAAATAAAATTCTGCTTATTGTATTTAATTCTCATTTACTTGTTCTCATCAATGTCACCTTCAAGATAAATACAATAATTTCTGTTTATCCTTTTGAAACATGTAAAGCCAAGTTCCCTTAAGAAAACCCTTTAGTGGTTGACTTTTAATTATTCTCTAAAAATAAATAGTTATAATCAAATATAGTAATATCAATATACTACACACTTGGACATAAGAAAGGGTTTTTTGTTGTTACCAAATGTTTTCATACTCATCATCACTGAATTTATATTTATTATATCTAATTTCTAACAGTTTTTCTTGTCAAAGTCAATCAATCCCTTCAACCATTGAGATGGAAGGATTTTTTCATCAAACCTACAATTTCATAATATCTTCAAATAATTTTTTCATCGTCTGAATTAAGAGCAAGAATGCTGAAATGGCTACTGAATCTGACCCTCTAGATTAACATTACTTTTATCAATGATAATTCGAAAATTTTAAGAAATTCTACTTTCAATAGAATATAAAGGAAGTATGTCCTGATCTTGACTGATCATCAGTTAGTTAACAATAAATTGCAGCGTATTTGATGTAAGATAGAACAAAAAGCTGTCCCTATCAGTAGACACTCAACTTATTATCTATTAGTCATAAGGCAATTACAATTTCTGGCCTAACATAGCTTATTTTAATTATATTTGAAAGCATTTTAAAGTTTTCAACCCTTCATTTCATGCAGTTGTAAATTTATAACACTGATTTCAATACCTATGATATGCATTTGAATATGAATGAAACAATTGTTTTGTTCATTATGTATCCTGTTTGAATCAATTCTCTTGAATTTGAAAATGTTCATCTAGTGTCCAATATATGGTCTTCGGGTCTCAATTAGGAATTTTAAATGTGCGTTTTACCTCACAAGAATAAGACCTGCTTCCATAGTTTTCATGCAAATTGAATTCCACAGAATATGTTTAGCATACTCATGATGTTGTAAATGTGCAATATACTATACATTTGTTATTAAATAATAATAAAGAGTTTCTGCAATTATAGAACTTCTTTATTTTAAATCCATTAATCAAAATTTCAAATAAGAAATTTTCATGACAAAATTATAAATTCATAAAATGAATGGTTAAAAATTTTTGCTAAAACTTAAACACTTTTAAATCTCAACAATAGAGTTAAGGTCATTTTAAAAATGGTCCATGAAAAACATATTTCATAATTAAGCTATAAACATGGATAATGAATCTTTTTTTTTACCAATGAAACTATGGTTCTGGTTTGTTATTTTTAAGTGTCCAGTATACCACAAATTGTATTTCGTTTTAAAACTCATATTTAAACCCTTACTGTGATTTTAAACTATCAAATTATGTTTTATTACTGAATTTTCTGTTTAAGGATTAACTTGTATCAGATATAAGTTGAATAAATTTTTTTGAAAATATTTCAATTTAATATTAGGATTTTTAAAATGTACTGAAGAAGACAGTTATAAGCGAAAAAAATAGTTAATGTTAAAAGTTTTTAATTTTTAATAGCATGGAAAATTAAATGCATCAATACAACTGAAAATATTATTTTAATCGGCCTTTATTTTCTTTCAGTTTCTAAAAAAATTTTGTTCAATTCAATTTAAGATGCCTTCTTAATGCACTTATTACACTTCAAAATGTGTTTATATTGCATTATAAATAAATATATAATATCTCATTAAAAACAAGTATGAAAATATTCAATTTTCTAAGGATTAAATTACCCTATTTTTAGTGTTCAATTCTTCAAATATGTATTCTCAAGTTCTTCTAATGCTTTACCAAGACCATTCTGTCAGTTCCCTTTCCGAAATATCAAACCACTAAAAAAAGTGACATTTTATGATCATTCATTTTAGCAAAGGGAGATCTTAAAACAAAACTTTTATGCTTTCTAAAATTTACAAAATAGAGAAAATAGCTTTGATAATATTTAATCAGAATTTTGTAATATCCAAACAGCTCTTAAAAATATTTTTCTGCCTTTAGAAGATAAATCAGCAAAACTCGCTATTCCTTTCAGGAGTATATATATAGTTTGCACTTCAGGGATCTCAAACAACATATTTTCAGTTTAAACTTTTCTTCGCAATTCCTAAGTTAAATCTGTTGATAGTGCTGCAAATGTGAAAAAAAAACATGAAATCACACAGTTAAATTGAACCCATAAATTAAGTAAATTCTTTTTTTTTGGTATGAAAAATCAAATTTCATCTAAAAGTTCCTCAATTTGAGAAGAATTTGTATACAACGTAAAAAGTTTGTCCCATTGAGATTCTATTTCCTGTAACAACTCAGAGAACTTGTGATTTTTTAAAGCACATTCAGATATAAATTTTAAGAATTCTAGTTAAAATAGACAAAAGATCATAAAATAACTGCATATTAACCTATGCACACAATGGTGCTCGTTTCTGAATCTACCTTTGCTCTTGTCAGCCTTAGGGATTTTTTAAAAACGTTTTGCAGTAAATGTAAGCAAATTAAGTAATTTATAGTATACTTGTTGTGTGCCACCATTACATCTGAACACCTAGTGCCACGAGTGCCGTAGATTTGCCATCTTTGTTTTATAGTGACCAGATTATAGAATGACAACAAGTAGTCATCACAAAAGATCATACGTAAGTCATTTTGTGATGCTACACTTCAATGACCTAATTTGTAAATTTATCCACAAAACACAACCAAAATAGAGAATTATAATTTTATGGAAAAAATATACATGGCAGTGAGATATTATTAAATTATAAAATTTTATTAAAAAAAGGATAATTAAAAAGATAATACATAAATTTAGTTCAATATCATAGTCTTTCATTCTCAGATATAAGGAAAAATGGGGAAAGATAGTTTAGCTAAGATTTAAAGGGTGTTGGAGCTGATCTGCTCAACATAGAAACTGACAGACATCCATTGTTTAGTTTTGTACAAGACAACAGTTATGAAAAGTCACACATATATAACTTTTGTTATAAATGATTTTTTTCTAGAAAAAGTCGAATCACCCCATTAATAAGACCAGGAATAAAGGCTAACTCTATGGGAAATTTAGAAATACTAGAATTTCAATGAGAAAGTAGCAGACATTTCCATTTTATAAGGAAATTTACGGAAATTACGCAGGCAATTTACATGTGATGTCGTCAAGACTGTACTCAAGGGAGGGGGACAAAACATCTAGGGGCCTGACCAAAATACATTACGTAAACTATAGCATTTTTTTAAAAGAAAAATGCAGAGAATTTTTTATATCAAAGCATAAACTACAATTCTGCTGTCTTCAAAAACTACACAAAATATGAAAATAAGGGCGCTTGGAAGAAACAATAAACTTTGTTCCATGAAACTTTTGTTCAATCTTGATTGCAGCTATTTTCTTCCTTCAATGTTTTGTAGCTTTCGTGGGCTCAGCGTAGGGAAAGATTGGGTGTTACCCTGTCTAACCTCAAGAGTAGAGGCTATACTGAAGAGTGATACTAATGAACCTTATTGTTTGTTATGAATCATTAGTAATTACCTTTATTAAGCTGTACTAAAAATAATTGTAATAAGGCTAGATTTAAAAACAAAAGAACATTAAAGTTGATACAGAAAAACAAGTTTATCTACACAGATGCATTGAATTAATCACCAACAATATGATAGGTGCATCTTTTTGACAAGTGACGTGTAATTCAGAGTTTGCCCACAGAAAAACAGAATTAATTTTGACACAATCAAGGTACCCAGTTTCCCCCTACTCTCCCTTTATAATATTTAAAATAATAAGGGAATTAATACCTTTGTTAACTGGTTTAGAATGAACAATTATGTTGTTTTCTTTTCTTCTTTCATTTAGCTTAAACAAATTTTTCCAAAAATCACACAAAGCTTCAGAATAAGTCTGTAAAAAATTCATAATAACAATTTAATAACAATTCAGTAAAAGAATATATTAGCATAAAGACTATGGAGAATGCACAAAAAGAACACTGTGAATAATTGTTTATCTGGTGAACAGATTTTCACATACTAAGGTGCAATATTAATTGGTTTGAGAATATTGATATAGTATCAAATCAAGCATATTAGCATAAAAAATATCATTGCCACAAATACTATAAAACAAAATTGGAACATAAGATTACGTAAAGATATTCGTTAAAATTTTCTAGGAAGTTAGTTACAACTTCCTGTAGAAATTATTGATGAACACACTTTAAAATTAATTTTTTTTATTATTGAAAAATGGCTGGCAAGTTTTAACTTAGAACAAATTGGCATATTATTAAAACAGTTATTAATGAAACAATTTAATGATTAAAAATATTAATGAACTTTAAAGTAAAAAAACAATTTGACTTTGTGGGATGTCTTACAATAAATTTTTTAACTCTAGAAAATTTTAGGTGATTTTTATTTTACTTTGTAAAATACAAACTATAATTTTTAGCAAATAATTATGAATTCTTTTGCTTTTATTCATCATGACATTTTTATTCATCACTCTTACTACAAAATAGCTAATTTAGAAGAAACAGTGTTGGGAGTTGCATAAAATGTGTGCATGGATCCACACATTAATGCACTTAGATAAATAAAAAAAAAGACTTAATACCTAATTCCTGAAAGCTAGTAGTCTGAGAAAATATCATGCAGTTTTTAAGGTAACTGCAAATAAGAAAAACATTTACAAAAAATAAATAAAAAACTTAATAACTTCCGATCTAATGATTAATTTTTCACACACTAATAAGGAGATGGCACTGTGTGTAGCGTAAAATCTTAATATCAAACAAAGTTTTATTACATTATGTGGCACTGAATTTAAATGGGCTATTTAGTTTGAGGCCCCTGAAAGGTTTTCTTGGTTATTCTCAACAAGTTTTGTGCTGGATAACAAAAAGAAAGAGAGTGGGGCCACTATGATGTTCTGGTGGCTTTGTGTGTGCATAATATATGAAAAATAAAATCTTTTTAATAATAATGATATGCATTACAGATATCAAAAAAAGAAAAACTAAAAGTAAATAAATAAAATTAAAATGTTAAGTATACGTTTTACAATTAAGTGTATGTAATTTAATTACACTAATTTAAACACACAAAAAAAACATTTGAAATAAGAAAAATATAGGTAAATAGATAAAGTAAAATAAACACTTATTTTAAAGTTATAAATACATTTATTAAAAATTTTGAAATAAATAGTTGTGTGCTACTGGCTGTGAACTATTTGTTGACATTTATTGAACAAATATTGTCTTCCCGTGCATCCTATATTAAAAAGAAAATATAAAAAGTATTAAGAGTTTTTTTCCTCTCCTTTGACCTTGAAAAAGATTCGTTAAAATCAAATATATTTACAAAACATCAAAACTATACATAAATGTTAGAAATGTGTTATATTTAAGAGTTGAGTTTAGTAATTTAATTGTTTTTGTTGTTTTACCCATAAAGATGATTTACTTCTATAATTAACTTTTTTTATTTCAAAATACAAAAACTCAAACCTGCATATGATGTTATCATGAAATAAATAGATAAATATCATAACTGAACAGCAATAGTTTTGGTGCAGTCTAAGGAGTTCTAATAAACATAGCTAGTTTTAAAAATTTGTTTTCTTTCTCACAACATTTTAATTTCATCAACATACTTCTTAAATAATGACTGTTTTGAAAATATATGTCAAAAATTTTAAATTATTATATCCGTAAGCCATTTTTTCTGAAACTTGGAATATTGTATAAAGGACTTCATTGTGTTACACCTTAAAATCCTTTGCTTTTATTTTTTATGATCATCAGTAATGGTACAATTTTCATAAAAGATTTTGAGCTTTTTCCTATCTTTTCTTTTTTTTTTTTTTTTTTTTTTTTTTTTTTTTTTTTTTTTNTCAGAAATATCTTGTTTACACAATCTGATGTTTTTACTTATGAGAGTTGCTTAAAAGACGCGTTCGCAAACTTACATCTGGTTATATATGTCTTTTACATATTTTAGGTAAGTAAAATGATTGAAATTTATTTTGAATTTATATGGTGAATTTGCCAAAATTTTTTTAGAAATTAAATGCCTAAAAATTGCTAAGCTATTACAGTTAAACAAATAAAATGATTAGTGGTAGTTTAATTCTCCGTTGAGACCATTTAAGTCCCAGGGTCAAATCTGCCGACCCCATAAAAGTGTGAAACATATCTCCCTAAAACACATTTTTTTAACGAAATTTTTAAAAAAATAAACAAACTATGATTAATCTAAGTAGCATCATCTAAGAAGTAAGTATTATTGACATCTTATATACTTAAATATAAATTAGTCATATTTCACGACATCGAAAATTTGTCTCTTACAACCAAAATAAAGTTAGCTGAATAAACTTTTATTTGCAAGAATTCTAGACTGAAAACAAGTTAATCAATTACATAGCTGTTAGTGGTATACAAGGTGTGACAAAACTAATGGTTTCAACCATAAAGGGTAAAAGAATTTGCCAAAGCAAAAAACTTTCAACTTACAATGTGGGCTCAAAAACCAAAGGGCAAGATGAATGAGGGTCTTTCTTGAGAAAAAGGGAAAATATAGTAAACAAAATTTTTTATTCCAGATTGTCAAGAAATTTTGGATTGGTAATGGTTACGAATATTTACTGGCAAAAGCTTATTTTTTCCAGGACATTGAAAAAAAAATGAATAAAACCGAAATAAATTGAATGAAATGGGTGATAGTAAAAATAGCCAAATAGAATTGTTTAGCAATCTGTTCCTACATAAACATATTTGAATTTAAATAAATTACAATTTAATATAATAACAGGAAATGTAGTTTTTTTACATTTCTTTTTTAAAATAACTATACTTGTATTATTAAAGTTTCATACAAAATTATAAAACCTATATAATATCGAATTTAAGAGTTGGTTTGAGTACTATTCATACTTCACAGTATTTCATTATAAAAATTACTATTCTATTTACGATATCAAAATACGATTTGAAGTAGAAAATACAATAAGCATGGTATACCACTCAAAGATTAAATTAGTTCCATGACTAATTTAAACATTTAGTGGGTGGAAATAAAACTAACCAAGCATATAGCTTCATCAAAAGCATACTGCTTAATGTTCTTTAAAGGAATTCCCAAGAGACGAAGGATTTTTAAAATGAGGTCCATTCTTTATAGTCTTGCAAAAATATAACATTTTAATCTCATTTTTCGAAGCTTATTGAAAAAAACAAAAAATTAAATTTTCTGCCAAATTTGTATTCTATTTGTTTTGATTAAGACGTTTCTGGCCTTCTATTTCTGTTACATGAGTTTCTTAATTTTAAATTAAATGATCAGCCTGACCTAAAGCAACTGGCTTACCCGTTGTTTAACCTCAAGGGACATTCTCACTGTTTAAGAAAAATTCGCGAATGGGAGACAGAGATTTGAAGCATAACCTGATAAATGAAATCTTTTAGAGGGAAAGGCTAAAACAAAACACTTGGGTATAGAGAAGTACTAAAAAAGGCAGCGAAAATATGTATTAAAAGTTTTTCAGACTTGCCATCACAGTTTGGACTTTTTGGAGAGGGGGTTAGATAGTTTCCATGACACTAGTTGGGATCATAGGTTCGCGTGCTTTTTGACAGCCCTATCGAAATAAGGTGGCTTGGAGAATAGTAGGGGGTTTCCCTGACCTAAAGATTAAAGAAGCTAGAAGACTAAAGAAAATGACATAAATTATTACGTTTTATTTTTTAATAATAAAAATATATTACCTATGAATATCCCTTTTTGTAATTAAATTGTAATTTACCTTTTCTTTGAAGAGGGAAATGCCTTTGAAGAGTCACTCCATGACTTGTTTAGAACATTAACACAAAAAAATCCACAAATATAATTATTACAAAAAATACAGAAAACTATTGAAACTTAAAATCTAAAAATTGCGAACAAGATCCTGTTCATAATTTTCACTGCATTCGAAAGTAGTGAAAGACTTCTCAAAAAATAATACAAAAAGAGTGGTATTAAACAATTATTCCTTTTTTTAACTTTCTCTTTGTTGTTGTTGTTGATTTACGTCGCACTAGAGCTACACAATGGGCTATTGGCGACGGTCTGGGAAGCATGCCTGAGGATGATCCGAAGACATGCCATCACAATTTTGATCCTCTGCAGAGGGGATGGCACCCTTGCTTCGGTAGCCTGACGACCTGCACGCGAAGTCGAGCACTTTACTGTAGCACAGTTTAACGAGGACCAATACCGCACACCCCCAGTCCCTACGCAGACTGATCCAAGTGGTTCACCCACTTTAACTTTCTCTTATTTAACGTACTTTTACAAACGTATTTCAAACTTTTCTTTTAACTCTAAGTTTCCAAACACTTACACTTGGTCTAAGGAAAAGTCAAAAGGGGTGTTCTAACTAAAATTTACATTTCTGAAGAAAAAATAAATGTAAATTTTTTAAGCATTATTTGCTTGTTGAAATCTTTAACATTTTTTAATCATACTTTACGCTCCCTTAATTTTGAAAACATCGCTTCAATTTCTGAAAATATATTTTGATTCGAAAATTGTTTTTCATATTCAATACATCAAACTAATATTTTCATATTTTTTTTTTATATCTATCCTAAAGATTGGCATCACTACAGAAAAAAAAGTAACTAAAGCTGAATTCAAGATAAAAAAAAATGCTTCTAGAATAACATTTTGCGATTTATAAATGTTCAGGTTCTATTGATTTAATTGCTTCAACTCATTTTAGGTTAAAGCAAAGTGCGTAAAAACACCATTTCAATAAACATTTTTTTAATTAACACTGTGATGTATATTTTTCACTAATTTTATTCAATTCAACTTTATGAAAATGTATAATTATTCCCTTTAAGATTGATTCTATGTTTTCATGACGGAAAAGAGTTGAACGTTCAGTAAATAAGATTAAAATATAACAAATTTCTTTAAAAAATAGCTAGTGCTCAACTAATGGTTTGTCCATTGATTTGGCCAATGGTGCATGCATGCAACGTTTCATTTTTTAAGCATATTTCAAAGTAAAAAAATACCACATTTCATAAAATTTCTGTGCTTGGCTTTAAATGAATTAATACTCGGTTAGTATATTTGTTAAAAACCCTCTCTTAGTTTTATAGTTAAAAGAAATAATGTAATTAAGGGGACCACAATGGACCAAAAACCCTTTTGTTTGAGTGACCGGGGGAGGATTCTTTAAGCTAAATAGTCAGAGGAACACCGTGTATGGCGTGACTCAGTTGTTACGACTGTGCGCTTGTGTTATTCATTGAGCGGGCTTTCGCTGGTTTAAATCCCGTCGGGCCGTCCATTGTAATTTTTCTTTCTTCTTCTGTTTATATTACAATGTATTATTTTGTTGATGTGTTTTTCGATATTTTAAAGGTTTCTATGTAGAAAAAATAATTTTTTCCTTCGAGAAATAGCGAATAATGCCTTAAAAAGTAAGAAAAATCCACTGCACACACTCTGTTCTTGCGCAGACTTAGTCAAGTGCTCACCCACCCGAAAACTGACAGCAGCCAGTGATGCTTGACTTTGGTGATCTGCTGGGAACCATGACTTAACGATCAGTCTACTGCGGGACAGGGATCGTAAGGAAACTGCCTATAGACTTCTAAGTAACAGGTCTGACTTTAGAGAAACAAGTCACAAAAAGTACCCTCATTATATTTAGAAAGACAAGTCGTAAAATAGATCTCATATGACTTCCAAGGCATTCAACCAAGGTGACTACCAAGAGACGAAAGTCACCATAAATAGTCATGGAGACTTTTCTGGGATTTCACAAGACAGAATAACATCAAAGTCACATTATGACCTCCTTGGGACAATTCAAAACGATCCCACCTGTAACTGTGACTATTTTTGACTTTTATACTATTTTTGAAGGTTTTTAGCAAAAAAGCTACTTTTTTATTTTCTGCCGAAAAGATGAAGAAAACACATAATGTGAAGAAAACACAAATGTTCCAAATACCCTATGATTTTTTGCTGATTTTTGTAGCTGTATATCCATGATATATACGTATGCAGCAATATTGGACACTTATTTATGCATCACAAAATTTTAATTTTTAAATTTATATACCTTTTGAACTACACCTTTTCAACAATTAGTTTTCTCCATTTTTGTATCGGTGTCATTCGGCTTAGCGCAAATAAAACATCGGCAATACTATCCCACCTGACGTATTAATTTTAGAAATGCGTATTAATTTTTCTAAAAAGGTATTTCAGATACATAAAAGGATGTAAAAAAAAAATTCATTTTTATACTCATCAAATTCAATACAACTTCTGTACTTTTAGTCTCGGCGATTTAATTTTAATGTCATTCGTTTCAACGTAAAAATAAACAGAAAACAATACATCGCCTGACTTGGTTTAATGCGTTTTTCGATATTCTGGAGGAAACATTTTTTTTATTAGGAAAATGGGAAAAAACTGGAAAAATCCTGGAAAATCAGTTTATTTGCTCTTTTTCGACTTCTTTTGTAACATTTTGGATATTCTAGCATGCATGGGGTGTCTTCTGTGTGTGAAGTCCAGCAAAGAAAGCGTAATGGAAGAATAAAAGAAAGGAATAAAAAAAATAAAATGGCTCGAGAAAGGCTCAAATTTCAAGACTCCCTAGCTGCCTTTAATATCAAGGTATAATTTTCAAACTCGGACCCTAAGTAGGGATCTATGGTCCAAACAAGGCTGCTGAAGATAATTTTTATAGGCCAATTAGGGGGGTCACAGTGGGTCCCTAAAGGTATATTGCGAAGATGTAAGGAGAGAGTTTTTGAATCGAAACTGTGGTATGCTTCACGTATCACCGTGGACTGGAAGGTAGGCCACCAGACAAGCAAGTTCGCTGCAGGAGGAAGAGGTCCTGGGTTCGAATCCCAGGGACGGTTAAATTTTCAAACAATTGTTTTTTTGTTTATTTTAAATTATATTATTTTTTTACTTGTTTTTCGATATTCTGGAGATTCCTGCATGTAGGAAAAAATTATTTTTATTGGAAAAATGGGAAAAAACTGGAAAAATCCATGAAAATCCGTTTATTTGCTCTTTTTCGACTTCTATTGTAACATTTTGGATATTCTACCATGCATGGGGTTTTTTCTGTGTGTGAAGTCCAGCAAGGATAGCGTAATGGAATAATTTTAAAAAAAAGAATAAAAAATTAAAATAACTCGAGAAAGGTTCAAATTTCAAGACCCCCTAGTTCCCTTTAATATCAAGGTATAATTTTCAAACTCGGACCCTATGGTCCAAACAAGACTGCTGAAGATATTTTTTATAGGCCAATTAGGGGGGTCACAGTGGGTCCCTAAAGGTATATTTCGAAGATGAGAGGAGAGAGCTTTTGAAGCGAAACTGTGGTAGGCCTCACGTGTCATCGTGGACTGGAAGGTAGGCCACCAGACATGCAAATTCGCTGCAGGAGGGAGGGGTCGTGGGTTCGAATCCTAGAGACGGTAAAATTTTCAAAAAAATTTCTTTCTTTTCTTTTGCTTGTTCTAAGTTATATTATTTTTTTGCGTGTTTTTCGATATTCTGGAGGTTTCTTGCATGTAGGAAAAAATTTCTTTAATTGGGAAAATGGGAGAAAACTGGAAAAATCCAAGAAAATCAGTTTTTTTGCTCTTTTTCGACTTCTATTGTAACATTTTGGGTATTCTAGCATGCATGGGGAGTTTTGTGAGTGTAAAGTCCAGCAAAGAAAGCGTTTTGGAATAATAAAAAAAAAGAATAAAAAAATAAAATGGCTCGAGAAAGGATAAAATTTCAAGACCCCCTAGCTTCCTTTAATATCAAGGTATAATTTTCAAACTCGGACCCTAAG